AACATAAATGTAGTCCACGATTACATATGCTAAACCCCTTACCACACCCTCATCCACACCACTCATATCAAGACTCAACACTCGCAATACCGACACACATTGACCCCCACCCTCACCACTACCTTACTCATCCATACCCTGATGCACTCCAACTTTCACAAAAATAGACAACATGATACGCATTGTCTTCCCCACTGCATCTGCCACACACCCCACCCTCGATAACCCTCCTATCTCTGAGCATCGCTCCCGTTGGCAAAACCCCATGCAGGAACGATACATAACCTCACGCGTCCTAGGCCGTATCCTTAATTTACTAAATCTTCGCCATATTACATCCCAAGCATACATGGGGTTGATCCTTTCAACTGGCACCACTACATGTCCCTCTAACAATTTACACAAAGTTCCCACCTTTACTTTTCCCGGTTTCCTGGCTAACACTAAGGCACGTAATACTGTTTCACATTCCTTCATTTCTGCCCCTCCATACCATTTCCTTAGGTGAGCATGTACCTTATCTAGCTGACCCCCCCCCTCCATCCACCTGAACTCATCACTTCCCTCTTAATAAACACACATTTCACACGCTTTCTCAAGTCCAACAAACCCAACCCTCCCCTACATACCGGCAATGTCACTACCTCCCTTCGCAACCAGTTGCACCCTGAACCCCACAAAAATTTAAACACCATTCTAAGAATACTCGTGATCGCCGTTCCTGTTAATGGCATCACAGCCGAAACAAACCAGACTTTACTATATAGTAATACATTGATGACAATTGCACGTTGCCTAAGGGTTAAATGGTGAGGTCGCAGCATTCCCAAACGACGCTGCACCTGTTCCACCATCCTATTAGAATTGTTAACCCTGGCAGCACTCAGGTCAACGTCATATATAACACCGCAGATTTTCAGACTCCCGGTCCTCCACTGCACAACATCACATCCCCAATCTAATCTCTCTGCCCACTCTCCCAGCCCCATGATCATTGAGTTTTCCAGATTTACCTTCATCCCAGTAGCTCTCCCAAAATTGTGTACAACTTCACCCAAATGTCCTAACCTCGTCTCCTCACTCACCAAAATAGTTGTATCATCAACATAGCCCACCAAACCAGGCCAAGGCTTCTGCTCACCCTCCCCCCCCCTGTCCTTAGACGATCCTCCACCATCCTATAAAAGGGATCCTGAACACGTGCAAACAATAGTTGTGATAATGGACATCCCTGCCGAAGACCCCGCTCCATGTTGACTCCCTCCCCCACACACCCATTGATTTGCACCCGTACCTTCGCGTTTGAGTACAACGTACCCACCCACCCCACTATTTCTACTCCAAACCCTTGTCATAGGAGAATATCCCTCAAAGCCTTTCTTTCCACCCTGTCATAAGCCCCTTGCCAATCCAACGCCACCAACGCCCCTCTGCCCCTTTCCATGTCCTTCTGTGGCCCTCGCCCATCGACCTACCAGGTAACCCAAACTGAGACACAAACACGACCTTCCCCACAACACATTTAAGCCGATTCCCAAGAATTTTCGCGAACAATTTATAATCAGCACAAAGCAGTGAAATGGCTCGGTAATCCCGAAGGGTACTCTGCTGTTTACCCTTTGGGACCAACACCACCACCGCCGTTGCCTGCGATTCTCCCATCTTACCTCCTTCTTTCATGGCATTCATTAACCCTACTAGGAAACCCCTAAGCAGACCCCAGTGCTGTACATAAAATTCGCATGGTAAACCATCAATCCTGGGTGCCTTTCCCTTCCTCATGTCCATAAGGGCTCTCCATATTTCCTCCTCAATGACCCCACCCAGTGCCTCCCGATCACTCCTCCCTAGTTTACACGGCACATACTCACATACCTGCCCAAGAACCTCTCCATCCACCCTACTACTTTTCCCGTATTCCTCAAACCATCTATCTGCATATGCACTCATCCCCGTGGTTTCCCTTAATACCTGACCCTCTCTAAACCCCCCCACAGAAGAAATGACTTGCAATCCCGGTATTGTAGTTGTTTGCTGTAGTACCTTCTGTCCTCGCAGTACACAAGCCGATGGCTTGTCGCCCCAGAGTACTTCGTCCAACCCCGCCTGTACCCGTACCACCGCAAACCATTCTTCTTGCAAATCCCTTATCCTTTCCTTCAACATGTGTATATCCTCCACTGGGTACACCCCAGCCACCGCCCCCCCCTCGTAACAATCCCGTAATCTAGATTCTAAATAATTTGACAAACCATACCGCAATTGATTAATGCGTTTGCCCTCCCTCACATAAAATTGACGTATTCTTACCTTAGCCGCACTATACCACCATCCTACCACATCCTCCTCAGTCCTTCTGTCTGCACAGAGCTGTTCCCAAAATACTGCAAAACCTTCCACTCCCTCCCTATCCCCCAAAACCATTGTGTTCAGTTTCCAGTAACTTCCCTGCCTACGAGCCAAAGCATCCCACCCCACCTCCACTAATACTGCCCTATGATCGGAAGACACCATCTCAATAGTTTTAAAAGACTCTACCGAAACCCTCTGTGATAAATATAACCTGTCCAAACGAGCCGCATATCCCAGTCTTATATACATATGTTCCACCTCCCACAAAACCTCCCCCGAAAGCATCACGTAATTGAAGATCTCTAAGCAGGTCCCCCAAGACTGAGGAACAATATCCCGCTCCTCTGGGTTCCACGTCTGCCCTCTTAACTACACAATTCCAATCCCCCCCATAATCGCCACAGCCAGTAACGTGCGTAGGTAGTACACAAGCTCCTCCCGCACAAAATCCATCTTTACTTTTGTGTCACTTTCTGCTGGGGCATACACACAAACACAAACGCCACTCTCTCTCCCATCCACCATCCTTCCACACGTAATACTCTCCCCCCCTCTTTCCTGTGCAATACAAACGGGCTCGCCTCCCTGATCAACACACCCACTCCTTCTTTTAAACGCTCAGACGGCATCACATAAGCCTGATACCCAGGCACCACTAATTCACGACCAAGCTTAAAATTGTGCTCCTGCACAAAAGCTACGTCAACCTTGTATCTATTCAAAAACATCCTGAAGCACTCACGTTTAACACCATTACACAGACCATTAATATTTATTGTTATACACCTGAGGCCAGTTTAAGGTTTCCCTCCCCGCCTCATGTCAAGACTCTTCCGTTTCAGACCATTCCCCTGGGCTTTGCCTTTGCCACACACTCCATCCTCCTTCCCAACCATCCCCCCCCTTCTGTTGTGGCTCTCTGGGTACCATACCCCCATGTCTTTTTCCCTGGCCTTTGCACCGGCGTCAGAACATCGTCTGAATCTGACGTTGCTGCCCTTTTCCTTGTAGCTCCCTCAGTTTCCATATCTGAGTCCTGAGAGCCAGCACAATGAACTTCCACCTCTGCCACCCTTAATCCGCCTCCATGTTCTTCCATGGCACTCGCATTGTCCATCACAGGTGCCACATGATCCCCCCCCACCGCACACACCTTCTGCCCTGATCTCAGGTTCCTGCTCGCTGTGACTCTCCACCTCCGTAGACTGTAACATAGCCTGTATCACCGTCTCCAACTCCTCCTCAATAGCTTGCACTGCTGCTCCCACCCGCACCTCCTCACTTGACAACTGTACTGTTGATGGGCCAGGTGATTCATGGATCACCACTTCTCCTTCCAATTCCACAGGAGCCACCACCTCTTCACTCCACAAGCGGCCACGCCCTCCTCCTTGCCCCCGTTCTTCCTTAGGCATCGGTTTCTCATACGCAGGTGCTCCGCCCCTTGCCGGCCCAGGAGCCATATTCCGCTTGCCACAGTCTGCCGCCATATGGTCATATTCGCCTCACAGTCGGCATGTATGCCTCTGCCCAGCATACGCTACCATTATCTGGGTTCTAAACTCCTCGAGATATACATACGAGGGTATAGGATGCCTTAGCGTCATCTTGAGATTGAAAGAACCCTCAGGATATCCTGTGTAAGCTCCTTTTACCCATTTACCAGGTTGGGCTAGATGTACAGTTCCATAACGTTCGAAAACATTGTGAATATCCACTTCATCAGCCTCAAAAGGCACGTTTCGGAGCTTCCCGCGAATAATGTGATACATCCGTCAACTTGACCCTCACTGCCGGTGTTACGTTAATGCTGACATCTTGATAACGATCCACCAACGCCTCGTATACTTGAGCAATTAGCACCTTCACGAATATTCTATACACACCGTTCAGTGCCACTCCATACAAATCCTCGTCTCTGATGCCGTATGTCTCTCTTACAATTTTGGGCAATAACACATCAACTGACGTAGGCGTTAAAGCCCCACTAATGAGCTCAATGCCCACAGTATTCACTCTCCTGCACACACCTGGCGCCATGTTGTTGACTGAGTAGCTCGTCTGGGAAAACAGTAGAGGGGTGCAAAGCACGACCGCACTCTACCTCATCCAGGCAGCGAATTGTGTATTAGAGTTGTGTATGCGGGAATTATGAGCTCCCCATTCCAGTAATGGACAGATAAGCATTTTTGACCATTTCCTGACCTTCCTATAGCTGTGAAAAAGAGAGAGAAGGGTCTCTGTTCCCTTGAGAGGGGTCGTCGCCCTTGGTTGTTGGAGAAAAATGTCTCCACAGGTAGGATAATGTAGGGTAGGTTTACAACAGAAAAACTGCAATTATAAAAAAATGACTATAAAATAGTCTGCCCCACGAACAGAAAATATTGTCTGTGGGTTAGTGAACTGTCTGAACCATTATAATGACCATCACGGTCATTATTATCTGTACAATCACTCTGGTCATCAGTAACACTATCACCATTTTCATTGTGGTGACTACCACCATGACCATTACAGCTCCATCATCATTTTAACCATCTTCATTATTATCAGTAGTAGTAGTAGTAGTAGCAGCAGCAGCAGTAGTAGTAATAATAATGGTAGTACTAGTATATTTTTTCTTATACTGAATGTGTGTGTGTTGGCAGACTACAACGAGGACAGGACTCTGGACGGGAGTGACTTGAGCATCGTGGTAGACAAGCTGACTGGCGCAGAGGAACTTCTGCAGGAGCAAAAGAAGAAGCTCGTTGACAGGGTAAGAGAGAAGAGGGAAGGGAGAAAGGAAGTTTTTTAATCAAAACTGGATTAATTGGCAATGTGTTGCTACTCTATTCTATATGATAGGTACACAAAGGGATCAAAAGCTTTTTATGTTTTCCTGTTACAGTCCATCATGTAGGATGGGATTCATACATAATATTGCAAACTGTCAGCCGGAGCTGAGAGACTTCAATAGGACAATGAGGATATCGTCAAATATTCCATTAAAGGTTCATCATCTACGAGAGGTTAAGGGTATCGTTCCAACAGAGTTGTTATCACTTTGGAATTACCATCTCTCAGGATAGCCTATCCCATATACAAGAGAAATGGAATTTTAATGAAGATATCTCCATCTTCCCAGAGCAGAGGAAAAATAAATTATATATGGAAGACAGAGGAAGGAGAGGGGATGGATGGGGGGGGGGGGCACGAAATTTTGATAATAATGTATTTAACAAACAGAAGCGTTGCTAGAGTTGGTGTTACCCTGGACGGAATCTCTGGTGTCACCCGGGGCAGCATCTTTGGTGTCACCCCCATGAAATTCAAGGGCGGGGGGATGGGGGTAAACTCCAGTCATGTCACTACTGCATGACCAGTTACGTCACTACTGCATGACCAGAGACTAATGTTTAATAATGAGAACTTTTAAGAGCCATAAACTGAACAGGAGAATACTTCTCAACTTTATTAATGATGAAATAAATAATCGTAGTAATATTGAGGAAACATAAACTCAAATACCACTTTGAGTACAGCCAACAGATCCTACATTTATTATTCTTCAACAATGCAAAACAAAAACAAAAACAAAACTGAAAAATAAAGAAAAACATTGTTCCGATTTGACCTTGAGTACAGGTAACATCTCAGTGAATCTGATCTTACATTTCCTTGCCTTCAGTTATGCAAAATCATCTATTACATCATCATCATCAATGATTTTTCCCAATATAGGGTTATTTGTACTTTGTTAATATATAATAGGCTATATAGAAACGAAGGATACTTCTCTTATGTTGGTGCAGCACTGTTTTGTGCATTG